CTCCGCCGTCTTTTTTTTGGCACGGCGACAATAGGAGAGACCCAGGGGGTTGGTTCATCTTCAGGCACTCGTTCGATTATGTCGTCTTTTTCAAGGGTTATGATTGCATCTTTAACTTTGTTTCGGATATGGTAAGGGATGCGGCGCTGTGGTTGAGCTTTAGGATTAGCATTGGGATCAATGTTTAGGTGGACGGTCTGTCCTTTCAGTTTTCCCAATCCGTCGAAAACTTTGGCATTTCTCTCGAGAATGTCATTGAGTTTGGGATCTTTATTAGGATTTTGCGGCAAAGGTTTGGAAATGTTGTTGAGGTGAAGACTGACGAGATCCAGTTCTTGGGCTGTTGACAAGGATAAGAGGTTTCCGCTTGTTGAACCCTGTGCGACATAAAAGGTCGCCGCGGTAATTTTCCGGCGCGTTTTCCGGCGCGTTTGTAAACACGAAAGCATTTGCGTACAACTCTACAACCCCGTAAACTTCCCAAGGAACGGTACCGGGGTTGTAGAGTTGTACGCAAATGCTTTCGTCGTTGTCTTTTGTAGAGAGATACCGCGCAAAGTCTGATATGTGCGTTCATCGATCACATTTATAGTTGCGCCTGTGTCAACTATTGTGCTAAACGAATGGCCACCCACTGTGACGTTAACTCGAGGGCTTTTATCGAGGCTGTGAATTCCGTAGATATAATCGTCGTCTGAGTCACCGGTGGTGTAATGCTCGAGGGGTCGCATCGGGTTTCGTGTGGCGTTGCTATGGTAATTCTGAGTGGAGTCTTGCTGTGCGAGACTGCCACTTGGTTGTGCAATAGGTCTGCTTCGACAAACGCTTTGGAAATGGTTAAGTTTGCCACACTTTCGACACTGTTTGCCTTTCGCGGGGCAAAGACCTTTGTGAGGAAAAGATCCACCACAATTGCGACATCCCGTCGGTCTGTAGAGAGCGTCAATTTCGTCAAAGGTGCTCGTTGCGCTGTCGGGCGATGTCGATTCGATGTCTTTAGCTTGGAAAGCGCTCTGTTCGTCTCGGCGGCCTTCTAAGAGCATGGCAGCTAAATTAAAACTTGGATCACGCAACGCACGTTTGCGGATTTTCGAAGAGGCCCCTCCAATAATTATTTGTTCTTCGAGTTAGAAATCTGGCGATGCGAACTCGCAAGTTTGGGCTAAAGTTCGAAGCCGTGTGTGAAACTGATCGAGAGTTTCCCTTGGTTCTTGCACAGCCTTTCGAAATCGATACACCTCGTAGCGTCTGTTTTTCTGCGGTTCGAAATGGGCAAGTAATTTCGCTTTGGCAATATCATAGTCTTTGTCTTCGCCAGTGTCAGGCAGTTGTTTAAAGATTTCGCGCACTCTTGCGCCAGCTTGGTATAGCAACAAAGCTCGTTGTCGTTTAGGATCTGTAACGCCACTACTCACTAGCCAGGAGAAACATGTCAAAGTCTGCGACCCAGTTTTTCCAACGTGTAGCGACGCTCGCGCCAAGTTCAGCGTCGGGATTAAACTCGGGCATTGGGCGAATAGGTATTGAATGTGCCATGCTGACTGTTAGATTGTTGCTCCATAAAATTTACTCCTCGTCGCCAATGTAATATCCAAGTACTAGGTATATATTTGTGCTATAGAATATATTTAGCATAACATAACGATACAGTTCTAATTGATGTCTTAGTGTGTGTTCCTTCTACACAACGTGTCCTATCTATCTATATTTAATTAGTTCCGACCGTATAGTCCTGGTGCCGAGTGAATGACATGACGTCATTACTATAACCGGTTTGTTCATGATTCCATCACATCGCAAAGCAACATTGCTTCCGCAGAAGCATTCCTTTCCACCCTTAACAGTCTGCATCCATCCCTTCAATTCACTACGGAAGTAGAGATCGATGGGGTATTACCTTTCTTGGACACAACACTAATTAACAAGAACGGTCGATTAGAAACGAAAGTGTACAACAAGCCAACAAACACTGGCCTTATGTTCCATTATGATAGTCATATAGAGAACATATGGTTGAGCAGCACGGCGAGGACGCAAAAAACATGTTCTTCTTCAAGGTGTTGAGAAAATGTCAGGGAAAGTTCGAGTGTTTACTCTATGAAATGTTATTTATTTCATCAAACTTTCTTGACTCAATAACTGTTTCTGAATTTGAAGTTCAATCTTTGTTATCCAGTTTGTCACCCTCTAAGGCCACTGGGCCTGATGGCATACCAGCGTACCTTTTAAAGCGCTGTTCCGAAGGCATCGCTCCGTCTTTAACAGTTCTCTTCGAGTTATCTCTTCAGCAGGGTGTATTTCCTTCTGAATGGAAATCTGCTAATGTGGTTCCAATACCTAAGAAAGGTGACGCTCATGAAGTCACCAACTACAGACCTGTTTCATTACTCTCCCAAGTCTCAAAAGTACTTGAACGCTTGATTTGTAGACAGGTTTCTTCTTTCATTAAGGACTCTTTGTATGACATTCAACATGGCTTTCGCTGCAATAGGTCATGTGTTACTCAACTTTTGAATGTGTTTCACGATCTCGGCCGTGCTCTTGAATAATTCTGGCAAATGAAATTGATCTTCTTTATCTTGATTTTGCTAAAGCTTTTGACTCCGTATCTCACAGCAAACTCTTGTTTAAACTAAAATCTTTTGGAATTTCCGGTCAACTTTTTAACTGGTTCGCTGATTATCTCCATAATCTGAAACAGCGTGTCGTTATCGAAGGAGTTTCTTCATCTTTCCTTAACGTTAAATCTGGTGTGCCACAAGGTAGTGTCATAGGTCCACTACTTTTCATTTTGTATGTGAATGATCTTCCAGAGGTAACTAAGAATTCTACAGTTGCACTTTTTGCTGACGACAGTAAATGTTACCGTGCAATTCTGTCACCAGCCGATCGAGATCTCCTACAGACTGATCTTGACTCTATGCACAACTGGTCGATCTCTTGGCAATTGAAATTTAATGTATCTAAGACGCTCTTGCTCAGGTTATCTCGGAAACGCAACTCTCCAACTCACTCTTACCACCTTAACAATCAACCTGTTAACCTGGTCCCCTCACATTGCCAGCTGTACTGCTAAAGCCAACCGTTTGCTTGGTTTTCTTCGGAGAAATTGTTCTCAAATGACTGATACTCGCTGCCGTCGGCTTCTCTATCTCTCAGTCAGTGAGATCTGGGCACCTCAAGCCTCGTCACGTGATCGTGCGATCCTGGAGGGTGTTCAGAGACGAGTTACTAAATTTATACTTCAAAATTATGAATTGTCTTATCTTGAGCGTCTTAGGAAACTTAATTTATTGCCTATATCTTACTGGCTTGAAATAAAGGATCTCATCTTTTTTTCAAATGCAAACAAGGCCTCTACGACCTAGATATATCTCCTCTTTTGTCACCTTTTCTTCTAATCGCTCATCTCGCACCCGTTCAAGCAAGGACAACTTGCTTCAAGTCAATCCGTTCAAAACCTCTCTTTTTAGAAACTCTTTTTTTAACCGAATTGTTTTTCTATGGAACAATCTCTCTCCGATCATTCGTAACAGTTCGTCTGTTTCATCCTTTAAGCTCCAGCTCCATTCCCACTATTCTTCTCAATTAGACTCTTCTTTCGATGTTAACAGAATGCGCACTTGGAAAACCTACTGCTCTAAATGCCGTTCTTACAACTTAAGCTGTTGCTCATAATCTAAACTATTAATTTTTATATACAGTAGCTATGTAAATAGTGTTCTAGTCCTTGTCTTTAATGTATGTCTACTTATTGTATTGTATCAAGTTGGTCTTCACATGGGACTCATGTCAACAGACCATACATGTACCTTCAATCATTGTTATAATTTTTTTTATGATTGTAAAGTTAATAAATAAATAAATAAAAAAGATCTTAAACCTAGTTCGGACAAACAATCGGACTCGATACGCTCAAAACTATTTCCTCAAGATTCTATATTAGCATAACTGTCCGTCTAGTGATGTTTTATTGTTTGTTTAATTGTTTGTTTATGCAATTTGCATTTTTAATTATTCTAATTACGTTAATTAAGTGTCTTAGAGTGTTTCTGCAACTGTCAAGTATTAGTGTCAAGTATTGTTTCTGCAACTGTCAAGTAATTATTTGCAAACGCTATTTATATTAATTTTTAATCGTTTTCTGTAATAATTTGAACTTGAAAATGAGGTCAAGATGACTTCGAAACGTCGTTCTTTAATAAATTTATTATCGCTATCATATTTGTCTATATGAAAACGTTTATCAATCCATGAAGTAAGAAAAAAGCAAATAAACATCCTTATAATTAAGCTATTTTAGTTAGCTTTTACAAAAAAAACAACAGGCAAAAATACCTTGCAATTTGCAATTATTGGCAATAACGGTAAACGCGTTTCTTGTACGTATGCATAGCGATCATTGTATGATATCATTGTTTTGTTTTGTTGAAAACCTCACGCAAACTTAATTTACATGTCAAGTAAATACTTAAGTACTTTCGCTTTCTATACACTTGTTTTCTGCCAACAGTATCATGTTACTGACAAAACATTCTGCTTACCAATGATGTAGTTTGCTCATTCTTCTCCTTTTCACAACTCGCTGCCCCGACATTCTCGACATAGGTAACAGTGGAGTTATCACCAATAACGACCGTACCAGTATTTGATGGAAGGTGAATGTTAACCACGGGTCTTGTGCCGTCCGAAACCGTATCAGCATTATCATTCTCGCTGGTCATTGCTGTCCTGTCTATCCGATCACCGGGACCACCGTCGTCCTCCACAGCCTCCCTGGCATTCTGAGTACTTCCTGAAATATATTCACGAACGCTCGAAAAGAATTGATAGGCCCAGTACAGCCAATCAAATACGAATACAGGCCAACCCATCTAAACGATGGTCTGCAAATAGTACAAGAAAACATAAAAATGTTGGTATATCATTATTTTCCGTTCTTGGTGCACGTAATGTTTATAATATGTAATACAATTTCAAGGTCGCAAGATGAATCACTTTTTTTTATCGCAGGATACATGCGCTAAGGGACCGGTCATTATTTATGGCAGGGGTGGGGGCCGAAGAGAAAATGGTGGGGTAACTGAAAAATATAATACTTGCTTTAGGTGGGGTGGCCAAAAAATCCTTGTATGCAGAGGTGGGGTAAAAAAATAACCATACTTTAATCACACACAATACAATGCTGTATACACTACTATAAAGAGAGTTTAATATGTGATTATTCAAATTTTTTAATAAAATATTATTGCTTTCCAAAATGTTGACATAAACACCCCCCTCAACCCACCCGTAAGGGGTCATTTTATTCATTTACACACAAAATCTCCAAAGACTCAAATTATCGGACAAAATATATACTGCCTATATATAGGGGCTGTTTATATAGTGCAACTGCAAGCCAAGCCTGGGTACCCAAGCTGGCCCAGTTTTGGCGAGATCCTGCCTTTGTTGTTATTTCCTACTAAAGTTCACCTTGTGTATATATGGGTAAAGAGCGGGGCCAGCTATAGCTAAGCGAGATCCCGCCTCTTTAGCCCGAGATTTTGCTAAAGCTGGGCCAAAATTCGCCTCAGGAAAAGTGACCTACTGCACCCCCTAACCCTGGGCATCCAGGCTCGCGGCTCGCTCCCATATAAACATCCCTTTATTACATACTGTATCTCAAAAAATTTATTTACAGTCTATTAAATTTTCAGGATTTAATTTTTGGGCATCTACACTTGATACTGTATAACTAATATTTATATCTGGTTGTAAACCATGTGGACAATTCAGGTAGCAAATCCTGAAATATGCCCCATGCCCCTTGTGAATCTGGTGAATCATTCCAATGGCTAGTTCATAATATGTTCAGCTCAAACATTGTTTGTCTTTGGCAACTAGCTGTTTTTCTTTACTAGCAGACCATGTATACTAATACATGGATAAAATAAGAGAAATCTATTTACGTACCCGTTTTACAGATTAATTTAATTGTTTATATAATCATACTTGGAATTTGGATGATATATCTTTATCTTCACACTGTATAACAGCAACTTTTTCTCATTAATTTACATTAACATCATTTTCTAAATTCAGATATTCTCACATGGGACATACACTATACTTTAATATTGTTGTATTGTTTACAAATTAAACTATTAAATTGATTTCATAAACTTCAAGAATTCCGTGGGAACCAAGGCTGCCACTCGTAGGGGGATTCCCCTACGGTAGGGGATTATCACCTCTTGTAGGGAGTAGGGGATACCTACGGGGAAAAAGGTAATTTGTAGGGAAACGTGGGGGGTTTCTTTCACGGTTTATCTACAAATATCGTATTTCTCTTTTTGTGATTATCCGAATCAGTCCTTCCGTAAATTTTAATATTGTATGGCTTCTATGGAGTATGGAACATTGTATGGAACTGCAGGATTGTATGGAAACAACTAGAAATCTAAATTTGAATGTGGAAGCACTGAAATATCATGTGATTAATGATATTGTATTTACCCAGGAGAACCTGCACGCGAAAAAAAGTACAGCTAAAAACATGGCGGATTTTGGCCTTGGCTGACGGCATTTCCATGACAACTGGACCGTAATTCTCATGGTAATTACCACTGACCTGGCTCGGATTTGAGCTCGCTGCAATTTCCACACCTCCTAGTTGCCTGAAAAAACTTTAGGTTTTTGCAATTTTGCTCGGGTTTTACAGTAAAAAGGGAGTTTAAGCTTCACGTATGCGGGAGCGCCAAATGGCAAGGCCGACTTTTCTTGGCATAATTTTCGTTCCATTTCTGCGTGTCATTTTTTCTTTCGTATGAAACAACAAGCCCATTTACTTTTTATTGCTTTATATCGTAGAATTTTTCTTTGCCTGACGTTTGTCGTTGAACGTGAAGCTTAACTCTCTATTGTGTAGTAAGTATAGGAGCAAATCCTCCAGTTATTATACAGCCCAGTGACCCATGACCATATTTGTAGGGAAAATACAATATTTGTAGGGGAACGTAGGGGGACATAGGGGAAAATTGCATATCGTGCTGTAGGGGATACGTAGGGATTTCAGTGCCCGCCATAGGTGAAAATAGGTTGTCGAGAGTGGCAGCCCTGGTGGGAATCTTAAGGAATTCCTTTAAAATTCCATGATAATTACATGTGATTGTCTATATTAAGGAAATTTTAAAGGAATTTAGGAAATTCTAGAATTTAGATAGTTGCAATCATGGGTGAGCAAATATTCTGTGAGACTATTTCAAAATAAAATTGCATTTTAATTAATAAAGAAATGCAAGAATGTGAAAGAAACCAAATTGTATACAGTGAAACTTTAAAGTGGGAAAGAGATAGGGGTGGTGAGATACGGTTAGTGTTCTAAAATCTTGAAATATATGCTTACAGATTTTATATCAGTGGTTAATATATATGTTTATGGGACTATAGCATTGCACTATCTCGTGAAAAGGGAATATAGCGTTGAATACAAACTATAAACCCCCAATTATATTTCCATTTAACAAGTATGTAAAAGCTAAACGTAAACTAGCGAAGTATCCCAATATGAAATGGCCAACTGCCGAGATTTTAGCATTCATTGATCCAAACCCCCATGTCTCCCATAACATGCAAATTACAGTGCAGTTGCTTGAGTCAGAGTGCATGCCAGTCTTAATATGAGTGAGCAATATAACTTCCATCTGAATCTCCAGTCCAGAAATGTTAGAATCCTTTAATTCTATTGGCATTTCCCTATGGGTCCACCCTAATTAAAGCTTAATTATAACATAAATTATTATTCTATATTATGAATTTGCATTTCCATTGAAAGGAAACATACTACACAAATGACAAGTCTTATTTTCAGCAGACAAATTTTAAGCCTTCAGATAACTATAATTCTTTATATAGTACCTTGCAACTGTAGAGGTACTGTAACCCATCATACAAGAATTAAGGGGCAAGAGATATTGGTAAACAAGTACATTTACCAATCAATCCCATTCCCTTTTAATTATAATGCCACTGTGGTCAAAGCACCCTATAATAATTATTATTTACTCTCTAACGGCAGATGATCTTACTCATCAATGGCAATTTTGGACCTTGATGAGTAATACACATACAAAATACTAAACTGTTTCATATTACATATTTTATGTCTGGACCTTTGACGTTGCAACAAAATAGGTTTGGGTGGGGTAAAAACTTTTTTCAGCATTCCACCGGTGGGGTAGCTTTTTTTTTTCTTTTTTTTTTTTTTTTTCTTTTTTTTGTAGTAGTAGTGTAGGATTTTTTCCGGCTGCATTATACTTTCTCTTCGGCCCCCACCCCTGCCATAAATAATGACCGGTCCCTAAAGAAAGATCATTGGCAGGATCGTTGACTTACGAATTTTACGGACTCTATGAAGCTATAATTAACAGGAGATTAAGCTAACTATTGACAAGATCCTACTAACAATGATCTTAAGAGCGGTTGTCTGTAATATTCAGGTAAGACGTGTAAAATGAGAAAATTCAAAATCCTTGAAACTTTGTGAGAATATAGGCCTATATGAAGTATTAATGTTGTGAAAGTTTTATTTCGATCGGATAAATATTGAAGGAGAGAGACGTCGAAATTGGTTTTCCCAGGCCACGTTCGATTTTTAAAGGTCATTTTACGGCCCTACCGAAATCGCTCTATTTTGCGCGTTAATGGGAATATTTCACAAAACATGATTTCGTTTTATAAATTAGAGTTATTTATTGAGCAGCAGACGAAATTTAGGGACATTTCTGTTAAAAGTGAATATTTTACAGATTTTCTTAATGTTTATTATTTTCGAACCTCTTTATTATATGCCATATTAGGCAGCGAATATCTCCATTGTTACATCGATTCAGACAAAAAATCTTAACCAGATCAAAGAAATATGTTTTCGCTTGCTATTGATCGAATAAAATTTTCGGGCAACTTAGAATTGAATTTTTGACGAATTTTTTCGTAACCCCTATTTCACCGGAATAACCGTATGTTAATATAATCAGCGTCGAGTCATGTAGTTCAATAAATAACCAAAGAGCTCGTCAAAAGCGTTTATTTTTTCGAGTAAGCAAGCCTAGGCTTATAAAACTACTTTAGCTAAAGCTGTACGGTTGGCTGAAAGCATTTTGGTCTAAATAACACTGTTTACAGTCGCTTATCGTTCAGCTAATGCCCGATAGCCGGTGCCGCTGATTTGGCAGATTTGGTTTCAATTATATTTTATCAGGGATATGCCGCGATAAGTATAGCGAGTATATTTTCTCTCCCCCTCCCATAAACTCGTGTTCTCACATAAATAGTGCACACGCTTTTTGTAAAAATCATAGGCCATTTGCAAGGTCATTTGCAAGGTCATACGATGCAAACGTCGCATTGTTTTGACGTTTTTTTAGTCGTATTTCCGGTTGGGTTAGCTCACGCGATTGTCTGAACAAAAATATAGACTAGCCATACCTTTCGCCAAAAATAACTTCGGTCCCTTCAAACATATCGTCTTTGTAATAGTCTTGTTCGAATCCCCATCAACAACACTATTTAGATTGTTATTTACATGCCTGTATCTTCAAATTTGCATTTTTTTCACGGCATTTCCATTTCTTGTCCAGCTGTGAGCTCGAGGCTCGAAGTAATTTGATAGTATACGATCGCATTTGACTTTCAAACTCCCATAACTCAGTATAATGTTAATAATGACTATAACTATCGTTCGGAAATAGTTGATCTTTTATTTCTGAATCGAATGGATTTCTGTCTTCATAACATGTACTGAACCGAAGATTTGAAATTTCTAGCCGTCAACCTCTCGAGTACGGCGACCTCGCAAAGAGTTTTAATTTAATTAATATTAAAGCTGAATTCTTTCACCGTGATGTCATGCCAAAAGGTGTCTTTTCTATTTTTAAAAAAGATCCCGGCTCTATTGATTTGTGATTTGGTAATATTAATTACAGTTTTAATTACAATTATAGTTTGAATAATATAGTTTGATTAATTACAATTATAGTTTGAATTTGTTCTGAGAAAACAGTCAAACTTCAGACCAAACTTCTACGCAGTTACTTATTTAGTAGTTTTATAATTAACTGCCCATCACTTTTAAAACAGCAAGAAGATAAAGACAACGTGTACGGTTGAGTTATCCATGAAATAAATAGTTGGTTTACAAAATGAATTCCGTCTTTGTGGATAAAAATTAGTTATAAATAATCTCTCCTGTAGGCCTATGTGTTAAATGCTACATGTAGGGATTTCCCCCGGTATATTCCTTCTCTTTTGTATGGCTGTTTGTGATTACTCGTCTCTTGTTACTGGGTCATGTGGTGCCAGCAACTCTAATCCAGCCGATTCAGAATGCGTTCTTCTTAATGATTGTGATAAAAGAAATCAAGGGACACCTGAGGTCGCACGACGTTTGCTAGGATTCAAGTTTGAGAACAGAGTCTTGTCTTCCACCTGCACGAGCCGATTAGTTCATTATTTTCTATCTGACATATACTTTTCATCCAATTTCAGTTAAATTTATCCAACCATTTCTGGATGATGCATTTACAACACAGGCAGTACTCAGGCCAAAGAAAAGTCAACAAAGGCAGGCCAACTTTCCCAGAGGGGGGCCCGGAATGGTGGAATTGTGCAACGTGTTAAATATTAAGTAATATTCTGAAAATTGAGGTCGAAAAAGGTCTGAAAAGTATTTTGTACCCCCCCCCCGTCCCCCATTATCAAAAAATTAATTTATATAATTAGATTGAGTTCCTTATCAGCATTTTGAAATATTCCTGTTACAAATAGAGCATTACTGACAGGACGTGCCAAGCGATATCTGGTTGGGGGTTGGGTGGATGGTGAACTTAAAAAATTCTGCCCCCTTCCTTTCCCCCCCCCCCCCCCAAAAAAAAA